AGAGTGAGTATAAATGGTCAGTTTTTAGGATGGAAAGAGGTAAACAGTGAGGTCCCCCAGGGAATCTGTGTTGGGACTGGTGCTGTTTAACATATTCATAAGTGATCTGGAAAAGGGAGTGAGTAGTGAGGTAGCCAAATTGGCAGATGACACAAAATTATTCAAAGTGGAAAGACCAAGGTGGACTGTGAGGAATTACAGAAGGAACTTGCGCTGTTGTGTGAATGGGCAACTAAATTGCAGATTAATTTCAATGTAGATAAGTGTTAAATGATGCACTTGGGCTCTTCATTAGCTGTTACTACACAGGAATGATCTGGGAGTCATTGTGGATGGTTTGCTAAAACCATTAGGTTGGTGCTCAGCAGCCATCAAAAAGGCAAACAAAATGTTAGGAATTGTTAAGAATGGAATTGTGAACAAAACAGAAAGTATTATTATATTCATTTATAAATCCATGGTGTGTCCACACCTTGAATACTGTGCCCAGTTTTGGTTCCCAAACCTCAGAAATGATATAGAACAACTAGAGAAGGTACAGGGTAGGGCACCAAGAATAATTAGTGGTATGAAGTTTCCATGAGGAGAGCCTAGAAAAGCTAGGCCTATTCAGTCTAGAAAAGGGTTTATAAAATACTAAATAGTGAAAAGAAAGTAAATAGGGATTTATTATTTACTCTCTCTCTCAATGTAAGGACTAAGGGTCATAAAATGAAACTAGTAGGTAGTAAGTTTAAAACTAACAACAAAAATCACACAGCCTGTAATTAAGGTGTGGAACTCATTGCCACAAGATGTTGTGGAAGCTGACAGTTTAACCAGATTCCGAAAGGGATTTAACACATTTTTAGAGTAGGAATACAGCCTCTGAATTCAAACTTCCTAGGCTTTAAATGCTGGAGGCTGAAAGTAGGGGAGGAACAGAGGAAAAACCCTGGTCATACCATATTCACTCTCCCTTTCATCATCCACTCTGCCACTGTGTCTCAGGACCCTGGCCAAGATCAATTTATGGTCTGACCTAGTAAATGGCAACTTTTATGTTCTTGTATGTTCTTAAAGCAAAGACAGCTACTTGCTGCCTGAGGAAAGTGCCTAGCAATGTTTATGAGCCCATAAGCTCCTAGACTAGCCTTCATGGAGGACTCAGGAGCCTGTAGCCATAATATCTAGAGTGGATGGGGCAGTAGCGGATATTTACGCTGTACCTCTAAGGTAAGATCTCATCCTCACGGGTGGGAACTGGACATGGAAGGGATTGGGATATGCCTGTGGGACATCTTAGCTTGTCTTAGCCTTTCTTGAGAAGCAAGTTGCAAAAACAAAAGAAAAGAAACAGGATGCTTGTCTGTAGCAATGGGGATTAGTTCCTACCATCTGCAGCTGGCTGGCTAGAAGCTATACCCAATCATTTGTGGGGAGCTGTGGGCAATGAGAATAAGGTCAGAAATAGACATTTGTTGAGGAAGAAGCAGTGGCAGGACTTGACAGATAGAACCAAGTACTTGCTGTTAGGGACTTTGAGAAAACTCAGCAGATAGAAATGTTTCTCCATGCTGTCATGAATCTGAGTCAAAGGACCCGTTATGAAACCAAACCCTTGACACAGTTGAACACACTCAAGCTTTATGTGAGTTATGAAACACAAGTACAGTCTTGCTTATGCTTCCCCTACAACTTGCAGCTACACTGTAAAGACTTTGCACTCAGTTGGATCTGTAGTGCCAATGAGCCACCAAACCACAGCGGACTTTCATATGTTTCTTAGATTTTTTTAAAGTTTAGATAAAGGGCTTCTTTCTCTCTTCCTCCATTCAAATAAATCCAGAACCCTCTCACTTCTCTGGCATTTACACAGCCCTTCACTGGGTTGGAGCACCCTAGCCAGATGTCCACTCATCTCCATTAACCTTTGCCTTTACTTACCTATATAGAGTTACTCCAACCTGGTTCCACATCATGGAAGTTTCCCAGTGTAGCCCACTCCTTCCTCCAGGTTTCTGGTTTTCAGAAAGGAGTCAAAACAGCAGCAAAAAGAAGCATGCATGATTAGGATGATAAGCCAAGGATAAATAGGGTTCTTGTTGTCGGTTTGGGGTTTTTGAGGGGGTGGGGGGAGGGCTGGTAAAGAGATGAGGAGTTGGAGTTAGTTGTTATTTGTTCCAAGACAGCTCTGACCAAGCCCCATCCCTAATTGCCAGAAATATCTTCTCCCTCTCTGTTCAAGGATTGTAACTGGGCTCTCTGATTTTACGTATCTGTAATGTAGACAAGCCTTTGAAGTAGTACCATGAACAAAAAAAAAAGAATGCACTCTCTCTGGAACACTTTAGTACCTGTTAGCTAAGAAATAATTTCCTGAAGTGAGCATCCTACTGCTGATGTCAAAGATGAGGTTGGCTGGCAGTAGTGCAGAGAGAGCAAAATATAAACAAAACTCATATTTGTGCCAGCTTCATCAGAAAATCAATACAATTCAATATTCATCAAATTGAGGAGAACCCATCTGTGGGAAGAAACTGTCATTTCAACTTACAAAGACATATTAAAGACTAAAGAAATGAAGAAAGAACAGGAGACTCTTTTAATAGGCCTTTGTTCATTTTGCTTTAATTCACAAAACAGAAAAAAACCACCCCAGAATATATCCATAATGATTATAGGTTGTTTTTTATTTTTGGTTATTATTGACACAGCAGTCAAACACTCCCACAGTAGCAAGGAATATGGGATACTTAGGACAGTGTCATTAAAAACAGCATTGAGCAAGGCATTGTACAAACAGAACCAAAAGATAGACAATGTGCCCAGAGGGCACAGTAGATTTTGATAGATGAATCATACAACTTGTATCACCGTGTTCAAATCAGACCTGGATAGAAAGTCTCTTTGCTTTGTGATTAAATACGCTTTGTGTGTGTAATAACTTTAGAAAGGAGAAAGTCAAACAATTAAAATAAGGTCCTAGGAATCAGGAAACGTATGCTCTGTTCTCAGGTCTGCCAATATGTAACATCACTGAACATATCTGCACTTCAGTTTTCCCCAGCTGTAGAACGGTGTATACAGCACAAGTATATGTTGAGGTCCATGGAGTTAACATGTGAAAAGCTCTGAGATCTTTGGGTGAAAGCCAGAATTTGAATGAAAAATATTTATTTTGCAAGCTTCCCAGAATACAGACTATTGATTTCTTTACATATTGCATACAAAACTAAGTACTTTGCTGATAAATAATTAATAGAGTTAATAGTAAAACAATGTAACTGCATGACATTTACTCACAATGGTCTCTTCCAACTCTTCTTCCATAATTTCCTTATTTTTAAACAAGGATTTCTGATTTTCTCACTTTTATTTTTCCATTCAAAGCTGACCAAAATTTCTAATTTAAAGGCGGGCTGCCCAGGAACCAGAGAACAAGGGACTTTACACAGGCATCATCCTTACTGAGAAAGGCACAGATCTTGAAGTAAGTGAATTCATTTGTTGCCTGCTGGCTTGCTTGGCTGCAATTTATAATTTGGAGTTCTCTGTTTTGAGGTGGACAGAGGCCTTTGTAGCTGAAAACAGGAGGAGAGCTCCCTGTCTTTGACCACAACTGACAGATAGTTAACTGATGAATCTAAATAAGGGGACAGGGTTGATCAAGACTTAACAAGCCAAGCATCAGGAGGGAGGAATTGTCCAGAAAACAGAGAATCAGTTTGTTTCTTTTATTAAATGTGGGGACAAGGAAGAGAAGATGGCGATGATGAATGAAGCAGCAGTGCAGGAGATTCAGAGAACTGGAGAGATAATAGAAATTAATGGACACAGAATCCGTGGTACATACATTACTTTCATTAGAGTACCTGTGAGAGGATTTTTAATGGAACTCATGGAAGAAAAGATCCAAAGTGGAGTGCAGATGGAAGCTACTGTGGAGTCCAGGAAGAGATTTGAAGAAGTGGTGGAGGAAAGCTTAGGGAAGGCTGCATGGGTAACAGAAAGTTGGAAGAGATGTCTTAGTATATGGGAAGAGGAAAACCAGGTCAGGAGGGACCAGAAATAAAAGTAAAAGTAGTGCTAGCATTATATGTTAACTATGTGACAGGCTGTAAAGAAGTAAGAATGGATGGTATGGATAAAACAGAATCTGAGTCAAAACTGATTTGCACAAAGATATTAAAACAGATTCTCCTATGATAGGGCTGGAAGTCTGCTAGAAACCCTTAGGTCAGATTTACCTAGAAAACTCTGTATTGTTATTAGAAAGGTAAACACCACAGCAAAGTGTGCCACTATGGGAGATTTCAACTCCCCACATAGACTGGAAAGCAAATGCTACCAATAATGGGTAGGCCCCAGATATTTCTGACACAAATGGACTACTGATTTCTTCACTGAACACTCAGTGAAACAACAAGAAGTGATGCTATTTTATATTTGGTTTTGTAAGTGATGAGGCTATTATAGAAGAACTGATCATAAAGTACAACCTTAAATTGAATAATACCAAATTGATTCACTTTGCTTTAAAAAAGAAAGATCAAGAAAAAGTCTGCAATTGTGGTCCCCTGTTTTGATAATGTAAGAGAACAAGCTAGGGAAGTGCACTGGACTGAGGCACTCGGGGAGTTGAGTGTATACTAGGTCCATTAGTTTACTGGAAGTGGAAGAATCCTACACCTCTAAGATGTTATTAGTAGCAATTTGAATTTCAGTAGTGACTCTTGAAACTTCAGTCTCATTTCCCCCTTACTTTCTCAAGTATAATTATAAAATCATTTATTGCTCCCGACTCCAAATATTGACATTGTTTTGCTTCACTATAATGTCTGTTTTCAGTCTTTCCTCTTTTCCGTCTCCTATACAATATTCCTTTTGATATCCTCTTTTATCCCAGGCAGTCTAAAAACCTTCCTTGTGTTTAAAAAATACAAGACCCAAGGAAATACCTTCAGGAAGATTTTATTTGGATTACAACAACTAGGTCATATTTTGACCTCAAGAGTCGTGCCAAAGAATGTATATCCACCCTAACTTCAAATTTACACCAACATAACCTTAATTCTGTGTAAAGCACTTAATTTTCATCTACTACCATCATTGAAATGTAGTCTTTGTAACAAATTTTATTTGTTTCTGGATCTATAGCAGCTGACAGCATTTCCTCCATTTCTTCCTGTGTAAAAGGCTCACCTGCAGGATAAGAGAAATGTCAGCAGTTTGTTTTGATACAGCGTGTTACTTCCAACATATCACTAGCAAAACTAGCACTAGCACTGGTTGCATTCAGAGTAACAACAGTAGAGCTGTAAGTGAAGAAAGGATAGAGTCATGTTTATTGGAGCAGTCTATGCCAGAGCCACCACTGTTGCTAATACCAGAGCTATTTAGAGATAGAAAATGGTGAGACATTTCCTGAAAAAAAATCAAAACACTTACTGCTCACTGAACTATATCTCAACACCTAAACAGCATAAACACATTGCCCAGCTATTGACAGATACTTTAGCAGAATCATTTTATTTTCTCCCTACTGAGAGTTTGTATCCATACAGTGCATCACACACTAAAGTTAAACCAGTGCTTCTTAAAGTGGTGGTCCGCGGACTGGTGCCGGTCTGTGAGCCACCGGTCGCTGGTCCACAGCGAGTTGCCAGGAAAGAAAGAAATATATTCGCCGGTCCACAGTGAGTTGCCAGGAAAGAAAGAAATATGTGTTCCAACACTTCAGGTGACATCATGTCATGCGAGGTGAGGAAAGAGAAACAGCTGGTCGCACATTTGTGTAGCGCTGTTACATGCAGTTGCTGCCACCAGCTGAACCGGGCACCGGTCCCTGGCCCACTGGAAAAAAAGTTGCCGATCCGCCACATCAGATAGTTTGAGAAGCACTGAGTTAAACATCTTCACCCAGCAGTAGCTATGTTAGCTGTACTTGAAAGCATATGACATTCTCCCAGGTTTCCTTGCAGATATGCTGACACAAAAAAGAGTGGCACTGCCTTTAAAAACCAAAAAACCTTAAAACCTAAGTCATTTTTATTATATTTATATATGCCATTTTCTCTACTATTGTCCTGTTAAGAATGTCTCCTGTTTTCCAGCACTCTGCAAGAACTTGAGCTTGCAGTTACTCCACTTAGATGTAAGACTCTTGTCTCTGCACTGTCACACTTATGGGATAGAAGTACTCAGTAGAGTGTGAGGGAAAGCTGAATCTCTAGAAGATAATGGCCCCTCTTCTCAAAAGATGTCCAGGTGAACTTGAAAGTCCATCATAAATGGCATCAAGGCTAATGTATTCCACAGAGCAGGGATACTGAAAGAGACTAAGCATATCCTCAAGATCTGAGCTTGAAGTAAACTAATCTCTTCTGTGAAGAAGAGTCACTTGGGGCGGGGTGGGGACGGACGACGACACTAGCACAGCGGCACTGTCTTCCAAGGGAGGAAAGGAATCAACACACCAAATCTACCCACCTACTTCCTAGGTCTGCAACGTATTTCCTATTCTGTGATAATGCCAAGTCTGGTTGGAGAACCTTTCAAAGCCACACTGTCAGGAGTACAACTGGGGTGTAGGCATTTGGGCTAGGGACAGACATTCAAAAAGCCTGAGTTGGAATTGATTCAATCTGTGCAGGTTAGTCTAACCTGGCTAGGCCGAACCGGTTTGTAACTGCACAGACATCCCCTCTGGAATGAAAAAAATCAGGCACATGCCTGCACTGGCTCAAGCTAGAACCCGGAGGGCACTAGAGCAGCCCTCCCTTCCCTTCTATGGTACTGAGCTGAGGCGGGCTGTGGCCAGGCCCTGGCAGGATGCTCTGATGTTCCCCCACTCCTGAGCAACCCAGCAGGGAATGTTTATCATCCCTAACTCAATGTCCATCAACCCATTAAGAAAACAAAGCCTCTCTTCATTAGTTCAAGGTCTTTTTAAACAGCTTTTCCAAGGAAGGACATTACCAGCTACCTGTTGATTAACTCCAAAGAGCCTGTCTCCCTTTGTTGTCTCCCACAGCACGGACTGTAGCCAGCATGTGGTCTGTTAGCTATTGTTGAGAGGTGTAAAGCAGAGGGAAAGGGAGAATAATCCTTGCTTAGTAGGGAGAAGCCAGGCAGATACTGGCAGTCTCTGCTAGAGCTCCAGTGAGGGAACAGAGGGGAGGGGGAATTCCTACTTAGCAGGGAGTGGTGAGGAGGAAGTGGGGGGCAGCCTGCAGTCTCTGCCAGAGCTCCAGCCATGGAGCAGAGCGGAGGGGCCAGCCTTGCTGTAGAGCAGAGAGCCCCACCCAGCCCAGAGAGCATGCTGGGAAGCTGGGAGTCTGGTTTATCTTAAACCAGCAAGGGGTCTGGGGCAGACATTGCATAAACTGGTTTGAGCCAAATCAGTTAAGTCTGATACTTCATTCAACCAGGTTTATCTCAAACCAGTTTCAGCCATTTTCAAATTGGTTTATGTACACTGAACATCTGTCCTGCTACAGGTTTAAACCAGTTTCTGATTACTTAAACTGGTTAATGTGTGATGTCTGTCCCTAGCCTTGGGGCTTGACCACAGAGGGTCAAAACCCAGAGGATTAGGAAAACACAAGATCATGAGAGTAAGGGTCTAACAAGAGTCAGGAGAGGAGGAGGGTCAGGAGGCAGTGATCTGTATGGGAATAGGACACAGGCAGAATCACAAGCCAGGAGTCAGAAACAGGAAGCAGGAAGCCAGATCAGAGTCAATACCCAGGGGGACCAGAATAGGCAGTTATAGCTATATGGGAGTAAGATAAGGGTGATCACCAAGATAAGCCAGGAGCCAGCTGTCAGAGGCCAAGAATCTGGAAGCAGAAGGGGTCAAGGAGCCAGTTTGGAATAAATAGTCAACAACCAAGAACCAATAGGAAGCCAGAAGGCCAACAAGCAGGACTCAGGGAACAGGAAACCAGGAACCAGCAAGCAGGACCTAGGACACTAGGAAAAAGCAGATAGGATCCACAGACTGGGAAACTAAGAACAAGGACTCAGAAGGCAAAAGCTAAACAGAGAACCCTCTCTTTTGTTAAGCAGCCTACTGAGCCCTGAGAAAATTGCCACTTACAATCAAGCAGCTATGCTCATGCAGGCAACTGTGACCTGAGGGTAGGTAGGCCACTAGCAGCCAGGGCACAGTACTGGTCAGTCACACTGCTGCTGAAGTGTTTGGGGACTGCCCATTCTCCTACAAACTTAGCTATAGCCACCCCAAAATTCCCTGTAGCCCCCAGTTGGGTTGGGAGGTTGTTTTGGGCTTGAAATGGGTTGGGATTGTTTTTAAAGGCAGTGCCACTCTTTTTTCTTGTAAGACTTGGCAACACTGGTTTCCTCTTAGCCACTGATCAGCCTGCTCTCATCTGCTGCAATCTGTTCAGCTTCCCTTCTACATTATTAAGCTACCTACATGAAGAAATGCTCCTGTACCTTATTACAAGGCAGCTTGCCCCAGACGGCTTCTTGCAGCTCTGTAACTCCTGTCTTTATCTCCCTCCCAGCTGCACCTGGGAGGTACAAACAGCTGCACTGTGCTCCACAGCCCTAGAACTGGCTCTGTGGCTGTCGTGATTGCATATATGGCTCCAGCACATGGCCATGAAGGGGACCTGAGGGCAGTGCAACTGTGGCCCCACCTTGCTGTCCATCTGGAAGCACACGTGCAGCCACTGCTGCCACAGAGCCAGTGCTGGCTGCTGCGGAGTCCAGTGCAGCTGTTTGTAGCATGCCTGCCACTTGCTGCAGCTGCCCAGAGCCTAGTCTGGCTATGGTAGGCAACCAGGAAGCTGCAAACTGCTGCACTGGGTTCCCCAAGCTGGCTTTGTGGTGGCAGCAGCTGCACGTGCATCTTGGGATGGACAACAGGGGAGGGACCAGGGTTATGCTGGCCCAGACCTCTTTCCGGCTGTGCACCCAGAGGCACACATGCAGCCAGCACCACGGAGTCTGTACCAGGGCTGAGGAGCCTGGCGCAGCTTTTTGCAGCCTCCTGGCTGCCTGCCACAAGCTTTGGGCAGCTGCAGCAGGCAGTGGGCTGGCTGCAAGCAGCTGTGCCAAACTCTGAAGGCCCAGCACCAGCTCCATGGCAGCAGTGCGTGCACATGTACCTTGCAGCACATGGTGAGGAAGGGGCTCCCCCACCGTCCACCCAGAGGCATGCATACAGCTGCTGCCAGCAACAACGATCAGGCCCCTCACGGCTCCCTCCCCTCCGGCATGCCATGCCAAGGCATAGGTAGATGTTGCAGTGCTTTTGGCACTCCAGCCAAAAACGTTGCCAACCCCTGCTTTAGTTAGTCACCAGGCTGGTCAAATCTGGCCAGAAGCCTCCAGAAGGGGCTAATTCTCTGCCCACTTCCTGTCCCTGGAGTGGCTGCCCAGGGTAAGCTGACCCTCCACTCACTGTGTATAAATCCCTGAACCAGAACAAGAAGTGTCTAGGCAACAGGTCTCAACCTGATAGTGTAACTGTAAAGGTGTGTTTTGGACCATCAAGTAAACCATAGCGATCATGAGACAGGTTGGCATAGGCATGGGGGAGGGGGGATGTGCGTGAGTGCCTCCATGCGTGTGTATGCGTGTGTGTAAGAAATAAATATTTTTACAAAAAAAAACCCATGATGGTTCCTCTGGCTTGGCCCTCTCACTTGACCCCCAACTCCTTGACCTGGCTTGCTCTAAGACCAGGGGTTGGCAACATTTTGGGGCAGAGTGCTAAAAACACCCGCAACCTTGACTTGTAAGATGCTGGCGTGCCAAAGGCAGATGGTGGGTGAACTGCAAGGGGCCTGAACCCTGTTGTGGCAGCAAAGCCCTGGCCTGTTCCCTGCTGTCCACCTTGAGGTGCATGTGCCAAACAAAATGCCTTTTGCATGCTATGCTCTGGCACATGTGCTGGGGGTTGCCTACCCCTGTCCTAGACCCTGATCTCAGATTGATCCACTGAACTCCTGCCCTGCCACCTCACTTGACTTTAGATTCATCCTGCCTCTGACCAGCACCTTGATCCCTGAATGGCCCCAGACCTGGCTACCCAGGTCCTAGCCTGACATTGCCTGCTGCTCTTTTCCTCTTAAAATAACAGGGGTCTTTGACCCTTATTACAAAGTCATAAAAATTCAGCCAAAAATTGTTCTACATTACAATTTTCATCCACGTCATTCCCTTGTCATTCATGCTGTGATTAATACAATTGCAAAATACAGGTTTCCCTCGCTTTACGCTGTACATGCGTTCCTGGAAAACGGCACATAACTTGAATTCACATAAAAGGAACCCACTTTACAATGTAACAGAGGGATACGTTCCAAGACCTCGACTATACTGACCCAGACCCATTTCTACCACTTTTGCAAGGCAATTTTGGTACTCACCAATAGCAGGCAGTACACACAAGCACAGAGTGGTAGTGAATGTTTAGTTGGTGTGAAGAGAGGGTGGTGAAGACTTCATTGATCGACCAGGGAGAGGGGTATGAGATAAGTTAGTGGGACACTTAGAAGACATAATGGGGATGGCAACTACAGAAAAAGGTGTCACAGACAATGAGTAAGGAGGACAGACCCACACAGGAGACTATATTTTGGTGCATGTCACTCCCACAATGCACTGCACAAAGCAGCTGACTGCGGGCTTCCACCGCACCAATCGCATAAGAATGAATTTACCTCACATATAACAGATTTTTTATATAAAAAGGGTCATCGCATAAGAGCGAATTCACACATACAGAACCTGCATAAAGTGAGGGAAACCTGTATATGTAATGTGTGGAGGGACCTTATTAACAGAATTATTAATTTGTATTTTATCATGTCACAGATACACAAGAAAGGATGCAGTCAGGGAAATAAAATTATCTTTATCTGGAGAATTCACAAATCAGGAGTTTTTGTTCTGCAGTTTTGACTCACCTAAGTCCTGTGGAAAACACGGAACCTACTCATGTGAGTATGGGGAACCATGTTAGGCCTGTATATGCACTGTATTTTCTCACCTATAACGTGCCCCCAAATGAAACATGAACCTTGTTTTTGGAAGCCAGAATGTAGAGAAAAAGATTTTTCCAGAGTCATGGCCAACTGTGTGACATAAAATAAGTTTTCCTAGAAAGAAAGTCACCATGATGTGTGGCATCAGGAACTTCCTGGTATGACAGATTGCCTCCTGTAATGCCACACTTTTGGGACACTCTGTTGACAAGAGAACTTACTCTATGTCATAAGGTTAGGCCCCAGCCCCTTGCAAGCAAATCTGTAAGTAATTTCTGTATATAAAGTGTTGTTTCCATATCACAAGCCTCATCAAGATATTACTAGCAGCTTAGTTTATGCTTTAGGCACAATCTACCATGCTTAGCCAGTAGTTATAGCTGGGAGAGGGTTAACACAGGATTCCACTCTTTCAGTTTGCTGAGCAGACACAAGCAGCAGCCATGTTGGCAGCTGCATGGCATGCAGGGTATCTTCAGGCATAGGCAACTGGTAGGGAGTGCATGGGGGTGCATGTGCCCCCCCGAAGGGACTGGTGCCCCCCCTGAAGGCCAACACTGATGCTGTCAGTGGGGCTGGTGCCCCCTGACAGGGCCGCCATCGTTGGCGGCTTCTGTGGGTGCCACCCCAGATTCAGGAGGCACCAGTCACTCATGCTTGTAAACGAATGCCCCGTTTCCAGCCAACAAAATAGTTTCCCCACTTAAAAAACCTGCCCCCCTGGCCAATTTGGGGTAAAGAGGTGCAAGCTGTATGTGAGAAAATATGGTAATCCATGATAGGCTACCATGATGGATAAAATATAAAGGCATCCTCAAGGCACCACATACTTGTATACAATTATTTTCATACAGACCAGTTTTACAAAATAAATCAAAGAATAGTTTACCTTCTTCAGTCATGCATTTGATTAACTCCTGTTTTGTAAGATATCCATTTTTATTCTGATCTAACACCTAAAACAGAAACAGAATAAAACTTTGGGTTTTTAATCTCACTGCTTTTCCCCTTAAGAGACATTTTAAATTTGTAGTTACAGACCTCAAATGCATGCAAAAGAACATCTTCTGGAATAGGCCGGTATCTGAAATTAGTCAATTAAAAGAGTTAATGGTATGATTTGCGAAGCTACTATACTAATTTGGAAAGATAAATCCTAAACATTAATGAAAAAGGGGACAACTGCAGACAATCTAGGGAAACTGACTATGCACAGTTTAACAAATTCCTGTTTGGTTTTACTAACAGTCTGTATCCTGGTGTCTTACGATTATCTTGTACTCTGTTTTTGCTTCAACCACAGGCAAGTTTGTTCTCTATGCCTGGGTTGGGTATGCAGACTATCAAAACTTGATATTTGACTAGTTCAACCTAGCCAGTACAATGCTAATGCAGGGGTGGGCAAAATGCGACCCGCGGGCTGGATGAAGCCGGCCAAGCCATTCTATCCAGCTCGCAGGGCCCCTAAAAAATTTAGAAAATTAATATTAATCTTCCCTAGGCACCTGTCATGTGACCCTCAATGGCCTGCCAAAACTCAGTAAGTGGCCCTCCTCCCAAAATAATTGCCTGCCCCTGTGCTAATGGATGCACCAGGAAATCTGTCCTGCCCAGGTGGGCTGGAAATTAACAACAGGTCACCTAGTAAGGACTCTGAGGTGAAGAAAATGGGGTGGCGGGAGGGGAGGTTCTTGTTTATCTACAACCATTTATCTCTTGGGCTATCTATACTGAAGTGTAAGTGTATTAGAAAACTTTGCAAAGCCTTTGTTTTGTATGCTTCAAATATAATGTTCCCCTGGAGAGATCAACTTTAAATCAGCATGCTTACATAGTTGAAGCTCTGGAAAAAGCCATTACTAAGCTAACTGGAAATTCAAGTTGGTCCTAAAATTGTTGGCTTCTGTGAAGGGGTAATAGAGAAAGTTTTGATGCCCAGGGTGAGAGAGGCCAAAGAAAGAATGCTGGAGACAGCTTAGACCTAGAAAACATGAAATGTGCAGGTCCTCCATGCTGGGATCCAAACACAACAGCCTGGTTTGTATTTAAGATCATAACTGTGACACTTAAGACACAGTTCTATCCTGCAAATTGTGTGTGCTACAAAAATATATCCACTACAAGACAATTTAACCAAATTGTGCAGACATTTCACCTGCAAAAATGAACGCCACTTAAGTCAATAGGAAATTTGTATGCAAACTAACTTAGAAGCATTACATATAAGACTATGGGGTTTCTTAAGCTTCCAGTAAAAGACACTAACACATTTCAATAATAAAAATTCACTAAAAATAATATTTTACAATAAAAGATAAATTAAAATGCATCCAGGCTCTGTGTAAATGCAAAGATCACTGTGTGCCTCTGAATAATATATGGCCTTCTTATTCCAGACATATCTACTAACCTTTTAGGCAGCTAATAATGTACATTTACTATACATGGCAGTTATTTTGTTAACACAAATATGCAACTGATTTATGATATTAGTAGAAACACACTGTGCCTATCAGTAAATGAAATTCATATATGCAAAAAACTAAAGATGAAAGGTCTTTATTCTGATATAAAATCTCTCCAGAGATATACAAGATCAGTTAGATGAGGAATTAATTCTGATTCACACTATATAAAACAGAAATATCATGTTATCATAATTCACAGTAATTGTAAACTATGAAATATTACAGACGTTGTTTTGGGGGATGTAGAACAATTACATTTAGACTAAAGCTAAATTTCTTTCCAATATCAAACTTAAATCAAACCCCTCCTCCCCAACAAAAAACAAACATGAGCATAATTAATGTACAAAATCATCTCCATCAATCTGAAACAAGGTATACCACATTTGGGTCTGGTTTCAATTACCTTTTTTCCATTAATACTTTAGTCATCATTGGAAGAAATTTTTCTAAATGAATATACCCAGTAGGTTCTTCTTCTTCTACCTAAAAATATAACATAAGGTTAGATAAGGATAGCAAATACAAAACTTAAGTGATTCATTAAAAACGTAACAAAAGAAACAGAGAATAGCTTGGCTCATGCATTAAATAATGGGGCTAGATTTTCTCATCTTAAAGCTAAAACACAGAAAAGAAATGGTTGTACTGTTTCCCCAAGTGGCCATGAACAAAAGTAGGTGAAGAGTAACAGCTAGTCAGACGTAGATAAGGTGACGATATGTCATGGTTTGGCTGGGACACTCCTGGATTCTGTAGGTCGGCCAGTTGATTGAAAATCCTGGGCAGGAGTGCAGTGGGGAGGCAGAGTGGCATGATGCACCAGGCACGTGGCTGGGTAGGCCCTGCTGCTCCTATGTGGGAGTAAAGACATGCCACATGTGGGCAGGGTGGCGCCTGCTCCAGTTTGCCCACCTTGGTCCTACATAGGAAGCAACGGTGTCTGCCCGGCTGCCTGGCTAGTGCCCCATGAGTCTCCACTTCCCTGCCAGGCTCCAGCCCAGGACTTTTGACCAACCTGCTGGGAACGAGCTACAGAATCCTGGAGTGTCCTGGTCAAGCCGAGATGTCTGGTCATCCTAGGCACAGGTGAGATAGAAATTGAGCTCCTCCTCCCTGGTGTGAAATGGAAGCTGGGGTAAAGATTACTGTAGGAAACTGGGGTAGAAGTGTCTTACATCCCCATATCCTGGAATAAACTGAAAACTCAGGATTTTGAATTAGACTTCCTTCCCTAGGCTCCCTTGTCAAGTGGCACAGTTCCCACCACCCCCATAAATAGCACTGAATGAAAAGACTGAAACTAATCCTAAATAACTTGCACACTACTTCTGATCTTTAAAATGTTTTACAAACATAAGCTAATTATCATAAAGCTACCTTGATTTATTATACCTGTTCCATGGATCAAGAAACTTAGGCAGAAGGACAAAGTAGATTTACTTTCAGCCATTAGTGGCCAACTGCTGATATAGCCATCTCCACCTGTTCAGACTCCTACCATAGACAAGAATATATGAAATTTGCACTTGTGGAATACATCCCTGGTTGAAACCAGGGTTGACTCCACCAGTCCAAATTACAGCTTTTCTACACTAGTGGTTTGCAATGGTCTTGAAATTATGGCAGATTCCCAGTACAGCCAGCATCTTACTAACTGCCTAAAACTATAGAACAAGTTATTTTCTGAACTGAATTTAAAACACAGTACTTTGTTCCCAGTTGTGTACTCAAACCTGTAGTTTTCTCTCATATGTTCTATAAATTGTTACTATATGCTGTTGTTAGTGATAACTTCTGACTTTGTACAGTATGCATCATAGACTGTGAAGCCAGGAAAAACTGCCACAAAAAATTCAGCATTTAATAAAACATAGCATACATCTCTTTTTGTATGTCAGACTATTTTCTATTAATTATACATTTTATGCCCCTTTCCTGAAATCAGAGTAGGAAGCTGGGAAAATGGAAAAACAGTTTACATTTGAAGTGAAAGTCTATAAAATGATTTATTCTGAGCAATGTACTGAAACAGAGACTTACTGCTAACCTGGGCCCTGCTTCCCAAAAGACTTATGCATGTACTTAACTTTAAACATGTGAACTGTCCCATTAACTTAAATAGGACCAATACATACACTAAAGTACATATGTAAGTCTCTGCAGGATTTTAATCCAGTCTATGTTGATATCCAAATGACAGCTGTTTTAAGAATGTTTGATCTTCCTTACTGGAATTTCTCAGACATCTATATAGTATATAGCCAGAAAATTCATATATACAGCAATCTTAAAAGTGTGAGTAATAAATGTGTGTACACATTTCTGATAAACTATCATATTTCACTTATTACAATAACCCAGATTAAAAGCCAGAGAAACAATGAGGTTAACATTATGCCAGGAGAATACTAAATGATAAACAATTAAGAATTCAAAATCGTTCAGGATGAATGCTTGAATTTTACAGAAAGGAACTGGGTTTTGTTCTCAAACTCAAAAGACAGAAAAACTAGTATTTAACCAAGAGAATGTTCAAAAAGTGTGATGTAATAGCCTTTTTACATTTTAGTTAACTTTTTTGCTGTGTGATCAACTGATTTTTTTTTTGCTTTCATACCACACTCATTACTACAGCATCTATGTGAAATACTTGTGACAAAAAAATATAAAGGGAAGAGCTATATCCTAGATAAGATGCATCAATGCCTCAATGTTACCTTCTACAATCAATTAATTCAAAATACTTGGATGTTTGTTAATGGGTACTATCTATGGAGTTATTGTATAAGATGTTTTAAAGGTACAGTATATCCTTCAGGATCAGATTATTGTGTTCTGATAGTTTAAAGATAAACAGGGCCATCAAAGGAGAGGCCAAAGAGATAGATTGTCTTGTTCAAAGAAGTCTGAAAGGTTGGGAAAAATGATAAACAATCCTAGAACCAAGAAAAGGTTTTTCCAACCACCCAAATATATTAATAAAAGATTTGCTCTATACCAGTGATGCTCAACCTCCAGTCTTCAGGCATCTGGCCCATGGGACTCCCCAAGGGTTGGGAAATTTGGTGGTGGGGGAGCAGTATAAATTAATACAGCCCCCCTCCCCCACTGCCAAATTCCCAACCTCCACAGTGGGTCAGAGCCAGGTCAAGCCCCTTCCCCTCCATGGGACCAGGTTGAGTCTGCATGAATCCCTTTTCAAGCCATCAGGGCTGTGCTGGGGCTGCATGAAGCCCCCTTCCCCCTCATGGGGCTAGGCTGAGGCTGCATGAAACCCCCTTCCTCCTGTGAGGCTGGGCCAGGGCTGACCTGCCCCACATTCTCTTCTGCTCAGCTGGATGGTGCCCTGCAATGCCTGTCCAGGGTGCCAGATTGGAACCACCAACTGGATCTGGCTCACAGACAGTTGGGGCATTGCTCATCCAGCCTGCTGGGAAAAAAGGTTGAGCACTGCTGCTCTACATTATAAAGGGCTAGAGGGATTTATAGTAGGTTTTTACAGCATGATAAAAAAGTGAGAGAGAAGATTTTTTGTGGGTGATTTCTTTTATTGGACCAACTATAAAGTTGTGAAGGCTATAATTTTGCTTTCAGATTTTTCCTGGATCATCACAAGTACATTATCATCTCAACACTAGCATAAAAAATAAAAGAGTTTTTTGTCATTCATGGGTGTAGGTTGTAGCTGTGTTGGTCTAAGGAAATAGGCAGACAAGATTCTTTGGGTGAATTTGATATCTTTTATTAGACCAACTTAAATAGTTGGAAAAAATTTCCTAGCAAGCTTGCTGAGGAAGCATCTGCAGTTGACGTGTGCTCTTCCTAGATGGAATGAATAGTAAAGAGGCCAGAGGTTGGTATGCATGCAAGAAAGGCAGTCAGTGAAGATGTAAATTGAGGAGTCAGTGAGTGAGAGAGAGGCTGGGGGTAGGGAGAGGTGGGTAAATGTAGCAGGTAAAAGTAGAGAGGTACCAGGGGAGTCAGATGTCAGGCAGGTTACAATGTGTCATAAATCCGATGTCTATATTTAGTCCATGGTTTTTTGTATCCAAGAGGTTGATGAAGTGAAGTGCATAGGCTTGTCTGTGAAAAGTATTTTGTAAGTTCCCTTTGAGGATTAGAACTGAGAGATTGGAGAGAGAGTGGTTTGCTTGTGAGAAATATGCCTGTACATATTATTGGGTATTCTTGTCTTTAATAGATTACTGGTGTGCATTCATTCTGGTGTGCGGTTACTGTTTGGTCTCTCTTACATATTTTCCATCAGGGTATTTGGTGCACTGGATGAGATATATTACATTTCTGGAGGTGCAGGTGTAAGATCCAGGAATGCTGATGGCTCTGTTGTGGGGTGTAGTGATTATGGGGGTGGTGGAGATGTGTTGGCAGGTTTTGCATTTCTTGTCATGGCACGGTCTAGATCCATTTGGTGTGTTCTGGGCCATAGTAAGTTTGCTTCTGGTGATGAGGTTAGCGAGGTTCAGTGCTTGTTTGAAGGCTAGGATGGGTGGTTCTGGGAAGATCTCTTTAAGAATTGGGTCTCCTTCTAGTGTGGGTTGCAGTTGTTAGAGGATTTTCTGTATGGATTCGAGGGCAGGGTGATATGTCATAACCAGTGGTGTGCAATTTGTGGGGGGGTTTCTTCTGTACTGCAGCAATTCTTCATGTGGTATCTGGGTGGCTCTTTCAAATGTGCAATCTATCTCTCTGGAGCAGTATCCTTATTGAATGAAAGCCTTTTTAAGATTAGTGAAGTGGCAATCCTGGGTGTTCTCCTTAGTGCAAATTCAGTGATATCTGAGGGCTTGGCTGTATATCACAGATTTCTGATATCACAGATATCAGATTCACCCAAAGAACCTTGTCTGCCTTTGTCATTTAGGAACATCAGAATTTTCTCCCAAAAGAAATACTCTGAATTACATTGTAAGTTTTGATCCCACACGGTCCAAAATGGTTGACTTCAGGGAAGCATAGGTGCATGCAGCCTTGGCTCCCTGGGCCTAATAGGTAGTCTGGGCTTCCCCAATTAAGTAGGGTGCTAACCTAGTAATCCATTGATCCACTCAGCTACCCCTTGCATCCATCTGGGTCTGGGGTGCCCCACTGCCCTCCAGGCTGGGTTTTACTTGCTACAGTAGTAGCAGCAGCAGCAGAATAAAGCTCTGCTGTTCCTCTTGCATCCTTTGCTGGAGCTACTGTTGCTGCTACAGCTGAAGCTCCTCCATCCATTTTTAATACAACTTCGGGGTTTATTCTTTTGGCTGAGACCTGAGCCTGCGCACATTCTCCAAGAGTAGGAGGTTGACACCTCAGGGGCCCCCCTCAGCCAGGCTTTTGCTCCCCAAACATCTCTTAGCAAGCCCCAGTAATAAACAAAATCTTTCAAACTGGCTAACCTTTACTCCTTGGGGCATTTCTCAGCACACTCCAGTAATATACAGTCTTTTAATAACTAAAACAAAGAAACAAAAAAAACCCAG